TCCTGCTGTCAGGGTGCCAATGCCTGAGATGATGGGGCGCCCAGGATTTCCAGGTTTATGGATCTTGGGTAGTAAATAGAATATCCCAGGTCGGGGTTCCAGGGGTGTGTCTGTGTGGATTTGATCTTGTGCTTTTTCAGGGAGTTTCTTGAGCAAATGCTGTAGTTTCTTTTGGTAACTCTCAGTGGGATCAGAGGGTAATGGCTTGTAGAAAGTGGTGTTGGAGAGCTGCCAAGCAGCCTCTTGTTCATATTCCGACCTGTCCATGATGACAACAGCACCTCCTTTGTCAGCCTTTTTGATTATGATGTCAGAGTTGTTTCTGAGGCTGTGGATGGCATTGTGTTCCGCACGGCTGAGGTTATGGGGCAAGTGATGCTGCTTTTCCACAATTTCAGGCCGTGCACGTCGGTGGTAGCACTCTATGTAGAAGTCCAGTCTGCTTTCTTGACCTTCAGGAGGAGTCCACCTAGAATCCTTCTTTTTGTAGTGTTGGTAGGGAGGTCTCTGTGGATTAGTACGTTGTTCAGAGGTGTGTTGAGTCGGAGACTTCAAAAATAGGATTCTAGGTCACCACAGAACTGTATCATGTTCGTGGGGGTGGAGGGACAGAAGGAGAGGCCCCGAGATAGGACAGCTGCTTCTGCTGGGCTAAGAGTATAGTTGGTTAGGTTAACAATATTGCTGGGTGGGTTGAAGGAACCATTGCTGTGGCCCCTTGTGGCATGTAGTAGTTTAGAAAGTTCAGTGTCCTTTTTCTTTTGTAGAGAAGCAAAGTGTGTGTGTTTTGTAAATGGCTTGTCTAGTTTTAGTAAAGTCCAGCCACGAGGAAGTTTGTGTGGAAGGTTGGTTTTGCAACTTTGAATAAGACACAATTATTACCTCCAACATCTGGCATTGTGCTGATCAGGCATATCTTAAGCAAGGTTATCATTGGTTATTCTGCTTTCTCTTAGCTAATCCCTATTTGCTAGGCCTCTGACCTCTTGACCAAACTCTGGACTTTGGGCCTGTACACAAATCCATATACCAGGTTATTACATAAACAATGGATTTTAACCCTTCAGTGGTACCCTCCTAAACTCCACCCACAAACCAAGAACTACTGACTTGAGATGCCAAAATGAGATCCTACTCACAAAAATGTTCAAAATATGATCACACATGCTCTGCTGGGCTCCCCATTAATGGGGTTGGATACACCCATGAACAGAACTAAATTAAGACATAGGTAAATAAGCATGTGCCCAAGTTTGCTTCTGTTCTTTAAAAAGTTCTGTTTCTTACTCTGCCAGTGGTCAAGAAAAGCTTGAAAATCCGGACCAATTGTATCTGATGCAGTGATGCCTGCCTAAATTTGCAGAGGGCCTCTGGCAGAGGCAGCTGAAGCTCACCTCGAATGCAGGGTAGATGTGCTCTGTATGGGGAGGCCAGGATGTGGTGCAGGGGTGGGATGAAGAGAAGCAGGGTTGGTGCTCTGCATTTTGAGTGAGGGGAGCTACTGAGACTCAGCAGGTAGGGGATGTTCCTACTTGATCCCCAGCCTGGACAACAGCTCTTTTTTTTTTAAATGAAAGCTGAGATTCTAGAGAACAAGATGGCAGTCTCAAAGTACTAGGTTGTCCACCCAGTGTGACCCTGCCCAATGGCTTAAGGGTAAATCAAATGCTTTTGTATAAATGGGTCTTGTGGATTAATTCAAGTTAGTGTTCAGATATCCTGTTGTGATAAAGACCATATTAATGCATGTAAATAACTTTAATTCAAATAACACCTTTTGGATGAGGGTGTCTCTCAGTTTATGGGTGCCTGAATAAACAGGATCTTACCAAAATAACTGTAAAATAATGAGAACATGTAGATTCTTTGGGTCATACAATGTTAATATTTTTGTTTAGTCAAACCCCTAATTAAATTATAAAAAAATAGAGAAGATATAAAGTACCACTGTTACATGTCTTTAGTGGTCATTGGCCATGCTTGGGCATTTGTGCTTGTGCTCACAAGAGGTGCTGTGGCAACAAGATGTCACAAAAAAAGGCAAAATGTCTCCTAGCAACAGGAAGCTTTAGGTAGAAAAGTTCCAAACTAGCTAGTGGGAAACAGCAAGCATAAACAACTGGGGACCCCCAAAGAGCAGAATTCCCCAAATCTGGGAATGATCGAACAACTGCTATGGTGAGTACCCTGGACACCAAGCTGTTGGAGAGGGAAGCCCATTGGCCTTCTGCCTGTGAATGACTTTTTGAAAACTAGCTTCACAGTGCTGGAGTCTTTGCTACTTTTTATGCAACTTTATTCTAACTTAAAAAAAAAAAGTAAAATATCATGTGGATTCCAACACTGACTGTTAATCCAAAATAGTCAACTCAGAGGAGACAGTATTATTTTCCTGTTTTGATCCCACTATTTAGAAAAAGCCATATTACTTGTATCCCTTTTCCAAGAACAGATTTAGTGAATAGGTTATTTTTAAGGGTAGGCAAGACCTTTTGCTTTTTTTTTTTTAAAGCTTTGGAGGACTTAACCTTGAATCTCTGATTCTAATAATATCACCAGTCACTTGGGAGCTATGAAAGAGACTGAGGAAATAAGGAGAGAGAAAGAGGAGGGAGAAGAAGAGAGCTGCTTTAATAATATAGGGCTAGATTTGTGTTCTTAAGCAGTACTCTGTATAAGGGGCAATCTGTAGCTGCACTTCCCCAGAATTGGAATGGGGACTTGTCTGTAGTGGGGGAAATGAATTGGGTTAGAAAACACATTAACACAATGTTCAACAAGCCTTTTCCCCTTACTGTGAACCAGGATAGTTGTGTTTAAAAACATTATCAGGTCATGGTTACATATTGGAGGACATATTGCACATCACTTCTGGTGCACGAGCTAAACAGGTTTGCATGTAGGACGTTTTACAATGTACCTATCTGCCTGCATGGCAGTAAAAGTGGATGAGAGTAGAATTGACATGGCATGGCATGTGCATGCTGGGTACACACAACTGCTGCTATTTTTATTTCATGATTACATCAGGAGAAACTGCCTTTAAGTAGATCCTTCTGCATGGGAGCTGAAGCCAGGAAAGCAATGTACTTGTTATATTTACATGCATATCACTGCTGCAGACTTGGCAGGTTGTCCCAGTGGTGTTGCCCCTTTGGGCTTTTGAGTAATTTATATTGGCTTTGTGCAGGGAAAGGAGGCTCTCTCTCTGTTACTGTGTGTTCTGTTTTGGACATTTGTTAATCCTTCTTTTCCAAAATTTCTCTCTCTCTCAAGTTCAACAGAGGAAAAAAAAAATCAAACTATACAAATACTATGCATGTGTGTTACATTCTTTCTACCACTTCCACTCTGGGGCTGGTGAAATGCTGCATATCTGGGTTTGTGCATCTCTCCTAGACTGCATAGCTGGAGCCCTAGCCTCTCCCCTGCTCAAATATCTACACTGGTTCATTTTTTTTAAAATGAGCGTAAGTTTTGAGACTTACTAAAAGTAGAAAGACTTTTTTCCCCACCTGGGTCTGGAATTGTCCATCTTGCATGAATGTAAGCCCCAAATTAATCTCAAATATAACAGAATCAGCCCTAAATTTCTGAGGCAGAGACGGTCCTAAACTTCTGTGAAAAATTATATATAGGTTCTTAGAGGCTTTTCAATGAAGTAAATATGGACACAATTCTAGCACCAAGTTTGTGCTCCAAAAATGAAGGGAATCTAACTCAAAAAGACTAAATTTTCCCCATTAACTCACAAGCCAATTTACTCTAACAATATTTTTAGTTTCAGAGTAGCAGTTGTGTTAGTCTGTATCCACAAAAAGAACAGGAGTACTTGTGGCACCTTAGAGACTAACAAATTTATTAGAGCATAAGCTTTCATGGGCTACAGCCCACTTCATCAGATGGATAGAATGGAACATATAGTAAGATTATATATATGTCTATATCATATATATCTATCTTCCAATTTATGTGTGTGTGTGTGTGTGTGTGTATACATACATGTTTATATGGTAACTTCTGACTTATCTGTGTGTGTGTGTATATAAGTTGGAAGATTATAATAGATATTATATATATCGATATATATAATCTTCCAACTTATACACACAGATAAGTCGGAAGATAGATATATATTATATATATCTATATATAATCTTACTATATGTTCCATTCTATGCATCTGATGAAGTGGACTGTAGCCCATGAAAGCTTATGCTCTACTAAATTTGTTAGTCTCTAAGGTGCCACAAGTACTCCAATATTTTTAGTATAACTATAATACACACTTAGGCCTGATAAGGCAAACACCCATTTGCCTTTATTCATTTGAGTAAAATTAAACGTGTAAATATACTCAGAACTAGAGCCCAATTCAGTCTCCATGTGCTATAAATGCAGTGGTATGTTCTTAATGTTTGTAATGTAGCAGTGCAGTAAATAAGGGGAGCTGCTATTGGAGTGTAATCATTTACAGTTAAAGAGATACTGCCACGTAGTGAAGACAACTTTTAGTACTGGTGCTTAAAGCAAAGACACGATGCTATGAATGTAAATGAAAACGGGACACACCTCTCCCCTAGTTTATAACCAGTCTCTTGCAGTATTCGCAACCCAGACTTTGTAGCGTTATGGCATTGCACGAGAATCTGAAAGTGAAACTCACTAGTGGGGGGTGGGGAGTGAAACTAGCCCGTTAATTTTCCTTCCCGAGATGAGTGAAGGGCAGAAAAACAGCCGGTTTATAACCAAGAGATTTTAGTAACAATAAGAAAAGTCTGAAAAAATAGATGCGATCTTTAGTTTAACAGTCGCTCGGGGGAGTGCTAGCGGGGGGAGAAGGAACAGCTCGGGGCGTTAGGTTCTTACAGTGCTTCTTCCCTTCTGACAGAGCATCTTCCAGTCTGCTGCGAGGGCCGGAGAGGAACCCAGAGCGCATTAGGGCCCCGGGGAAAGGCGGCGCGGCAGGCAGGTACCCTGGTATACTTACTGGCTGCAGCTCACATACAGGCAGAGAGAGGCTGCTGGGGGCCCGGTGCCAGTGGGAGGCTCTGCGCTCGCTCAGCCGATCCCGGGACTGACTCCAGCATCACTTTAATGGGAAGTGGATGGCGATGGCAGCAGCCCAGCAAGTAAAGAAACCGCAAGCGTGGCTCTAGGCGCTGCTCCCGCCCCTGGATGCCCCCGCTCACACCTTCCACGCGCCAGGACCGAGCCGCTGCGGGAGAGCTGGGGCGGCTTTGCTGTGGGCTCCCCTGGGAGCTGCAGCCCCCGCTCCTCACCGCGGTGTGTGTTGCCGCCGCTGCTGCCGCCGCCGCCCCCGGACCCCCGCCCGCTCCCTCCCCGCCTGCCTCTGCCGGGCGGCTGGCAGCGCAGCAGCTGCTGAGGCTGGAAGTTTTCCTGGCAGCGCGGGGCTCCTCCGCCAGCCAGTCCCCAGCTCCCCGCCGCGCGCGGGAGAGGAGCCGCGGCCGCTGCTGAGGGCGAGGCGGGGGGAAGCGCCGCGCCCGGCCGCCTTCGCGCTCGGATTCCGCAGCCTGGCCGGAGCGGGAGGCAGCCGCCGGCCGGCCGGGGTCCCGGCATGCTGAAAGTCACCGTGCCCTCCTCGTCCTCCAGCGCCTCCGCCGCGGGCAGGGCGGGGGGGCGCGGCGCCCGACTACTGGATCGACGGCTCCAACAAAGACACCCTGGCCCATTACTTCGAGCTGCAGTCGGAGCTGGGACGGTAAGGAACGGGCGGCTGCCGCCCTGGGCGAGGGGCATTTCCGGGGCATCCTCCGCTGCGCGGGGCGGCGGAGCCGGCGGCTTTGGCTTGTGGCCGCGCCTGGGGAGGGCAGGATCCCACGCGTGCAACCGGTGTCAGAGGCTGCGGGGACTTTTCCCTTGCGAGGTGGGGCTGGCTGCCCCCCCCCCCCCAGCCCGCCTGCTGCATTTCCTTTGAGTGTGGTTCGTATTTAGAGTCTCTCCCCCGACCCCTCATGCTGGCTTCTTTCTATGAGGGGTACCTGAAACTGGAGGAGAGAGATGTGACAGCCAGGGAGACCGCCTCTTCCCCAGTGCTGTTGGCTCTATGGCAGTTCCCCTACATGTAGAGTATGCAGCATTTCCTAGATCCCCGCGTTTCCAGGGCTAGAGGGAGATGAAGACTTACGGGGGGGTTGGGTTTTTTGGCTGGGGAGGGGACAGTCAAGATGATGTTAGTGATGGTAAACTTTTTGTTTTTGTTTTTGCTGTTTAAGACCAGTGACATGGGAAATTAAACTTAAATACCAGCTTGCTTTAGTGGCTTTTCAGTAGTGAAGGGGAGAATGAATCACTTAAAACAGTTGCAAGTAGGATTATAAACTGACATGTTGATACAAAGAGAAACCCTGTATGGGAACAATTTAGCACTAATTATCTGGGAAGAGCCTAAACTATTAGGCTTCCCTGTACTGGTGTGTGTGTGTGTGGTGGGGGGCGGCGGAAGAGAATATATATTCCAAATACCATCTGGAGATCATGTCCTCATGGTGACCAGCATGTACAGCTATTGCCCTTCACCTGTGACGTGCCTACTTTGGTTTGACAGAGATGGCACCATAACTATTTTGAGAAGTAGACATTTCACCTTTTTGCTCACTGTAAGGTTTACAGTATTTAACACATTTCAGGGTTGCCTCTTTTGTACTAGGAAAGCTCAAGATGAGGCATTTACTGCTGTTGTCTATCAATTACAGTGTCTTGATGATGAATGCACCCTGATTTCAATAGCTGAAAAAGTTAAACTGTAAATGATGGTCCAAAGAGGTGTCAGTATTTTTGTGCTGGATGCATATCTGTCCATTTTGCAGGTGTGCACGCATGTTCAAACACAGAAAACAAATTCGGTTCAGAATGAAAGTCATGCAAGTCCTATGTTAAAAGGAAAATACCAGTTAATTTCTTAAGAAAAACACACTATTGGCCCAATCCTTTAAATGCTTAGCCATGTGAGTAACTTACATAAGTAGAGTTACCCACATTAGTGTTTGTAGAATCTGGGCTTAATACTGTGCAGAGTGACTGTTAAGAATTTCTGTGAATCGGCCACACTTATAAGTAAATTGACAGTCTAATTCTGAGTTTTTATACTAGACATGTTTGTATGAATTTGGGCACGCTGCTGCAGTCCTTACTCAGGCAAAGTTGCCATTGAAGTAATGAGCCACAGAGAACATGCAACAATGGGTGTTACCATATACACTGTAACAAGAGTGATCAGGTAAGGTTGTTTCATGTTCTCTGTGTATATAAAATCTCCGCACTGTATTTTTCACTGCATGCATCCGATGAAGTGAGCTGTAGCTCACGAAACAACCTTACCTGATCACTCTCGTTACAGTGTGTATGGTAACACCCATTGTTGCATGTTCTCTGTGTATATAAAATCTCCTGACTGTATTTTCCACTGCATGCATCCAATGAAGTGAGATCTAGTTCACAAAAGCTTATGCTCAAATAAATTTGTTAGTCTCTAAGGTGCCATAAGTATTCCTTTTTTATATCTGTGTAGAATTTTCTGTATCAGTATAGAATTATCAGCAGATGATATTGCATTTAGAAGTGGAAAATAAAAGAATTGATGTGATGCAGTAACATGTATAATAGGGATGGATGAGTTGTCATAAACTTTACAGAGTAGGAAGTAAAATGAGATCAACGATCTCGTAGTGAAAAATTTCACAGATGACAGCGCAGTTGCATCAGTTTATTCACAGAAGGACTTGTAATTACAATGTTTTTACCTGAAAGGAAAAGTAAATCCTTGAACTGACATGGTTGCGTGTTTAAAAAAAAAACAAAATCTTATTGGCTGTTGAGTATTTGGCTAACATTCCTCCCTTTTTGTCACTTATGATGATGATTGCACATACCATATAGATAATAACTTGAACCGAAAGGCCTTCATGAATGATATTCTATGCATTTGACTTTAACAATACAGCACTTGTTAATACTCTGTAGGTGGCAGAATTGGTGAGTTGTATATTTTCTGTATCTTGCCCAGTGTGTCTTTCAGCTGAGAGTTTGCATTTCACAATATCCTGAGAAAAGGTTTTGCAGCAATGTTAAACATAAAATACTACACTTGTAGTATCCCAGAAACGTAAAATCTTTTATGTTATGTACTATCAGGTACAGAGTTTATGCAATTGAGATTAGTATAAAGAGATTATTTGAAGAGGAGAGGTAAAATTATGTAACAAATGACTCCTTTGATACTCAATGCATTTTTTAAAAAAAGGCAATTTAAGTTGTGAACATATCTGCAGATATCATTTTTATTGGAATTGTATTGAATATAATTTATTTTGGTATGGCAAATTTTATGCACTCCGTATCTTGAATCAGAAAGTGACAGAAAAGTTTAATGTTTCTAATGTATTGATTGTTGGCAGAGCCAACAGCTCATACACAGTTTGACTATTAGGGAATATTTCTGGCTGGGTCTCTAGAGTTATTCCCTCATTGTCAAAAAATGACATCGGACTCTTCTGTGCACATGAACCATCATCAGAAACCTTCTGGGCTAACTTCTCATTTAAAGTATAGCCTCGCTAGTGTAATCCTCATCAAGGTCCTTATCCTGAGAGCTATTAAGCACCCAGAGTTCCCATTGTATTTCCAATGGGAATTGGGAAAGCACTGTGCACTCAGGCCCCAATCCACAAAGATACTTAGATGCTTAAACCCCAGACTTAGACACCTAAGTCCTGGTTTTTGCCTCCACTGTGATCCACAAAACTTGCACTGAATCCTGTAGGTGCCAAAATTCACTCAATGCCTATATTTTTTTAGAGTACACGTTTCTTAGGAGATTCAGTAGGTATGCTGAGAGGCTGCCTACCAGGTCAAATCCTAATCAAAATCTGGCCAGGATGGCAGTGGTGGTAGCCAGATTAGAACTTTTAGTCCAGTGGTTAGAACATTTGTCTAGGATGTGGGAGGCCCAGGTTCAATGCCCTTCCCTGCCTGAGCAGGGAGAAAGGATTTGAAAAGGGTCTCCTACCTCTCAGCTTAGTGGCTAGAGTCCTTACCTGTGGGATATGCTGATGTGGGGGCTCCCTCAATCTCTCCTGTACAAGCTGTTTCATTGAGGATAAATAATGAAAGTGTGATTGGAGCAAGGGGATTGGACTGTCTGTCTTCAACTTCTAAGGTGGGTGGCCAAACCACCGGTTTACAGAGTCTCTTTCTTGCTCATGTGCCCAATGACTGTTCCACTGAGCCCAGTGGTTAGGGAACTCACCTGGGAGGTGGGAGGCCATAGGTTTTGTTCCCCTGCTCCAATCACTTTCATTATTTATACCTAGTGGATCTGCTTCAAGAGAAGAGACTGAGGGAGCACCACATCAGAATATCCCATAGCTTAGCAGTTAGAGCACTCTTCTGAGAGGTAGAAGACCCCTGCTCAGATCCTTTCTTCCCCACTCTGGCAGAGAAGAGAATTATGGGAGATCCAGGTTCAATACTGGCAAATCTTTTAGCCCAGTGGTTAAAGCAATCAGGTGAGTGGGCATGGCACTGGTGCCGCTGTTTTGTGTGGAGTGAGGCAGCTGCCCAACTCACTACCACAAGAAGCTATGTAGGTGCTTAAGCTGCCTGACTCCAGGAGAGGGGTTCCAGTTTGGGGATCATCTGTGCAGAGAGAGATACCTCTGTGCAGCCCAGACTTAGCACTGTTCCTGTGGATTTTTTTTCCTAGGTGCCTAAAAATTAGGCATTGCAACACACAGTGCGGCAATGCCTAAATCTCTTTGTGTATCCAGGCCTCAATCCCTAATGACACAATGCAGGGTGAGCTCAAGTACTTGTGTGCTGTGAACCCACCATCTTTTAGTGATGCTGAGTGAGCCGTGCTAACATCTTATGTTAATAATCCTGTTCATGAAAGCTGTTATATAGCAGTAATTGAAAGGGAATTCTAAAGTCAGGTAACAGCACTTGTTTTAGCAGCATTATTGTTATAGAAATGGGTTAATTTTGCATATGTTTAGAAGGCAATAATACATTTTATTTGAAACTCTAAGCCAGTGCTGTCTGCTGTCATATCACCTTGCAGAACTTCATGTGACGACAACCTACAAAACAGCTTTGTAGTTCCTCTTCATAAATAGATCACCTACAGAGTTGCATGTCGTACAGACTGTGCTTTCTGTGCCCAGTTGAGAAGCTCAGTTTGTTTTGGGTGTTGTTAAACTATATGTATACCACTCAGGTTTTTTTGTTTTGTTTTTGACACAATCTTTGCTTGCTACAATGGTGGGTTATTCTGCAGTACACCCAAAAAAAAAAAAAAGAAAAAAGAAAAAACGCTTTTTGAGGTAGGCCAATCTTGATTGCCTTACTAATACAAGTAGTCCCATTAAGATTTCACAAATAGGGTGAGCAGGATTTTGGCCTTTATGGAGTTAATAACTGAGACTTTCATATTTTCAAGTTGGCTTCATAATCTAGACCTTTTAGCTCTGTAATTTGATCTTTGTATTAAAAGAACACTGTGGTCTCGATTCTAGTATTGAATGTATTAATTCATTGTTTTACACTGACTCATTGTTCAGTTATTTTTTGCCAGACAAGTCTCTTCCCCCCTCCTCCCAAATGCATATATTTTTGGAAAGTGCAAGTGTTGAACCAGAGTCTGTAACAATGAGCTCTGACAATGTAGTAGCTTTGGAGTTAGGCTACTCTGTCCCATCTGTC